ACATGATTTCCGTTGAGAATGTGTAGAACAAATTACTTTAAATCGATTTGATTGATTTTATAATAATTTAGGTACTTATTGACTGATTTTGTAGCTATAGAAAAATTATTAAAAAATAACACATTTTCGAAAATGAGAAATTTAAAATTCATAACTTTAGTCATGCCTCTTATTTTCTGTAGGGGTAAGCAGAGAATATAATAATATTGCATTAACATAACACTTCCTTTTGCCCGTTATATTATGATATGAGTCTACGTCACAATAACAATCGAGCTGCCAAAAGCTGCAAATAGTTAAAAAATGAAGAAAATTCACAAATTCATAATTCTTGGTACTGACGGACTGACTGACTGACGGACGGCCTTAGTACGAGTCTCTTTTTCGTTTAGAGTAATCGAAACGAGACGGCGTTCTGCGCTGTGATTGGAACGGGCGCCGTCAACTGGGACTGGTCAGCTCCAGACTGTATTTTTTATTGTCTTTAAGGTTATTTTCTTTTTCAATCACTTTGACTGGATTTTAGTGTTACATTGTTCTCGCACAATCCAAACAGCAAAACTATGTAACTAGAGAATTGTATTGTGAACCTGATTGAAAAAGAGTAACCTATGGAGTTTCTTGCTCGTTCTTCTCCTTAGGAATGAGCAAATAGCTTCACTTGTAATTTTCCTTTTGTTGACGTTGACAAGTGCCATTCTGGCCTAATTGGAAAAAAAAAATTGGTTGGTTCATTAGAGCTGGCCAATCAGAGCGCCGAACGCGTACTCATTACGATTAACTTTACCCGTTGTTATTTAGTTATATCCCCTAAATTTGTTCATACAAAAGTAGTCTCTAAGCATTGGACATAAGGTCTATAATGTAGGTAGTGGAGAGCGGTCACCGGTGACCGCTTGGGGATCTATGGGGTACTAAGGCCTCTGTTGTATTTACGTCAAGTGCCTGTATGAATAAAGCTTCATTGAAATAAATAATTCGATTTTGATTATATAATTTAAAAAGTAGTCACTCTACACATACTCAAAAAACTAGAGCAATAAAAAAATAAAATAAAAAAGTGTGTAATTAATAAAAATAATTAAAAAAACCATTAGCACCTCACGCGGTTTCACTTATTACAATAATTAAATAATGATAATAATGTAATAAAAACACTTATTAATGTATTAATAATACATAATACATAACACAAACTGTTTATTGTTTTATTTTTTCCTATACACAAATGTGAATATGATTTTTCTGTATTACAGTTGCGTATTGAGGTTTGATTCCCGTGTCGAGCAAAAGGTAAATTTCAATAGTTTTAGTTATTGATAGGTATTTATTTTCAAGTTTGATAAGTGACGCACTTGCTTGACCCAGAAATCGAACACCAATGTTTAGGTATCACATTTATGTATATGAATAATTGTTACATCATTTACCATCGTGTAGATATAGCATTCATTTAAAAAACTGTAGCCATTTATTGTGAGATAGCAATTAAAATATAGAACCTATAAACTTAAACGTTTTCGAGCATTTCCGACTAGTATCAAATTAAGAGCCCCGGTGTAGTTCGAAATTCGTCGAACATCCTCGAACATATCGAATATTAAAGTACATTATACACATAGGTAATTTTTTTAAACCACATTTAACTAAATAATATTACTTTTTATCTTTGAATGAAGTCTTAAATACAATCTGATAGACATTTATAAATTTTTACTCTTGTATTTAACATAAGATTCCGAATTTGATATTATAAGGCTATATCTACACAACGGAGCAAAGGGCACCGTATGAACCATTTTAATAAAGATACACGCAACACAACGAAATGAAAATCACAGTTTAGTAACCAATTCGACTGCATTCTGATTCTTTCATAATTATAATCCATTTTCACATCAAAATGCCTGAAAAAATGAAGGCTGTTGAAATAACAATTTTAATCTGTAGCATATACATACATAACATAACATCACGCCTTTTATCCTCGAAGGGGTAGGCAGAGGTGCACATTATGCCACTGTACAATGTAACACCCACTTTTCACTATTTATGTTATGAGTCCCATGTAATAGGGGGTGAGCATATTGCCATATACCGGGCACATTTCCAGACTCCGTGCTACTACTGAGAATATTTTAAAAACCCGGGAATCGAACCCTAGACCCCATGCTCGGCAGTCGCACTTGCGACCACTCGGCCAACGAGGCAGTCTGTAGCATATCTATCACTTATAACCACTTTCTATCATCGCACCACTCGCCGTCGACAGGGAGTTCACGCTCACATATTGGAGCCCAAATGGCCCCGTAGAATTCGGTTTCAGAGGAATTTCCTCCCACGGACCCTCCGATTGTGGTATGAACTCTCTGCCAACGTTTTCCCAGTGGGCTACAATATGGGGTTATTCAAGAAAGGAGTAAACAGGTTTATAAAGCTTCGACAAGGCTGATGTAATGCTCCAAGTGTTGCAAGCGTACATAGGCCACGGTAACCGCATACCATCAGGTGGGCCGTGTGCTTTTCCTGCCACCGTTATGGTTTAAAAATATATATCGATTTTATGATCTACTTAATTTTAGTATATTTCCAGCAATTTTTTTAAGTAAGTATGCTGTTTGACGCTAAAAAAACGTGACGTCACAATACACAATCTCGTACAAAATTCATAGAATACTGTCGTTTTTGGAGGTTCGAAAAAAAGTATTGAATTTGATAATCTGTCAACTACCGTATTCCAGACTGTATTACATAAACAGCCTATAAGTGGTCACTGCTGAGCTAAACCTCTTTTCACACGGAGAAGGTTTGAGCATTAATCAGTACACTTGCTCAATGCGTTTTCTAACTTATAATTACAAATTATAAGGCCAGGTTTCCTCACGATATTTTCCTTCACCGTTTTTCTATCTGTACAGGACAATTTTCGAAAACCAAAAATCCCTTTCAGAAATAAATTATTAGTTCAACAGCCTATACAATAAAAAAAAAAATACTAAAACTAACAATAAATTCTAATAGAATGCCAATATTCTGCATAATTTTCAAAATAATAATAAATTAACCTATATCTACGTACTATACGTACTTTAGAATATTCTCATCCTAAACTTTATAGACATAATTATTCGAAACTTCATTATTTTTTAGTAAATATCACTTAATTACTTAATGATACTGTATAGTACATTTTGGAGAATTTGTTAAAAGTTGTATATTTATTAAACCGACTGTGTTAACGTCAGTAATGTGTTTTAAATCTTTGAAAAGAAAAAAATTATGGGGTAAGCCGGTAAACGAGCAGACGGATCACCTGATGGTAAGCAATCGGCGTCGCCCATGGACACCTGGAACACCAGAGGCGTTACAAGTGCGTTACCGGCCTTTAGGAGTTTGAGGATTGTAGGGGATTCAGGGATTGGAGAGATTGGGGAAGGGGAGGGGGGCGTCTGTATTTGGGCCTCCGGTAACCGCACTCATACGACGAAACACACGCAAGTGTTGCTTTACTATGGTTTTCTGCTCAGTCGTGGTATCACTCCGGCCCATTCGTGCCGAAGCATAGCTCTCCCACACTTCACAATCTTTGTCTATTACCTGCATACTGAATAACTAGGTTGTATGTGTTACAAATGCGTTGCAAATATATTTTTTAATGATTTAAAACACATTACAATTAAAGTACACTGTATTCCTAGATAGATAAAGAACAAAATGGTTTAAATTTCTTAGACAACATATCAGACGGTATTTTGATATTTATTTATCTAGCAATAAAGGTTGTTTTCGGTCGATTAACTTCTGTTAAGGTATTGACAACTTTTCATTGATTTTAAACCTATTTTACACTTCTATATGAATTACACCAGATTTCTGCAAGTCTAATTAACGCAAAAACCAACAAATTCGACGTTCAATCTCTCGTTAAGAGCTATTTACGTTGCTTTAAGTTTAAACTAGACTACATGTTGCCCAGAATATGAATTTTAGAACACAACATTTTATTTATTAAATTTTCCAAAATAAACGCAGTATGTTAATCTTTAATCTGCACTTACACCAGTATAGACCTTATATCTGATGTTTAGGAGTCTACTTTTGTACGAACAAGTGTTGCGGATTTTCATAATCAGACAAGAAGATAGACAATACTAAATAAATTATTATGTTTTCGGCTTACTCACGTAATAATTTGACGAGGAACTCGACTAGTTTCAAGCCATGCTAGAGGCTTATATTCATGAGCAGCATTTCGCGACCCGCGACGCGGCGACTACTAGTCGAGTTCCTCGTCAAATTAACATAACATCATCACGCCTTTTATCCTCGAAGGGGTAGGCAGAGGTGCACATTATACCACTGTACAATGTAACACCCACTTTTCACTATTTATGTTATGAGTCCCATGTAATAGGGGGTGAGCCTATTGCCATATACCGGGCACAGTTCCAGACTCCGTGCTACTACTGAGAATTTTTTTAAAACCCAGTAATACTTTGCCCGACCCGGGAATCGAACCCGAGACCTCTTGCCCGGCAGTCGCAATTGCGATCACTCGGCCAACGAGGCAGCCTCGTCAAATTACTAAGTGAGTAAGCCGAAAACATAATAATTTATAAGGCAGACATAGTTTAAAGATTGGTTGATTTTTGCGTTAAACATCCTTTTGGGATTCAGGTGTCCATATTGATTAGTCTAATGCGGGTAACTGAAACGTTACTCAATTTTAAGTCGTGCTTAAATATCGTGCCATCTCTGTCATTTTACAAAGAATTTGTAGAGACTGAACTATACTTAAGCGCGACTTAAAATTGAGCGTTTGAGTATTCCGACATAACTGACAGATAACTGTAAGTTAATCTATTTGCAACTTAATCAGATACTTTAAAAATAGGTTTTTTAAACTTTATGCTTACAAAATGTAAAGCATACCTTTATATTGTGTATCCGTTTGCTTGTGGTATTCTCCTAAATGTGTGTACAGTGTGTTGGGGGGCTCCTTAGTCCGGCGGCAGGTAGCTGAACAGTTTGTATTTGTCTCTTATGTACGGACGTACGTCGTCTTTCTGTGGGGGGAAGGGAAAACAGGTATCAGATTTTCAGTTCTATAAAGGGATAAAATGGGTATTTTTATATTACTTTTACATACATACATAACTTCACGCCTGTCTCCCATGCCCATACCCATGCCATGCTGTGCCCATGGGAGACCCCTAGTCTCTACTAGGGAACGCCAATTACTACGATTCCTACATACCTCTTTCGCTTTATCAACAGTCATCAATCTTTTCATGCATACTCGTCGGTTAAGGGCACTTTTAATTTGGCCCTTCTTCAATATATTGCCAATCTGGTCGATATATGTCCATCTGGGGCGCCCTCTACCAACGGCCCCATTCATATCCGCTCTGTATACTTCTTTGGTTACTCTACTTTCATCCATCCTTTCTACATGTCCAAACCAGCGTAACATTCCCTTTTCAATCCTTGTCACTACATCGTCTTTCAATCCACACCTTTCTCTAATAACACTATTTTTCACTCGATCACTCAAGTAGATATACTTACAGTGGCGAGATGTTCGAGGAAGGGCAGTAGTTTGAGCAGTTCGTTGTCGCTGCGGTCCACGAACCAACTGTCGATCGGGATACCGTTCTCTAGCTGGTAGCCGAATGCCTGCAGAGAGATAACAAGAATAAATTATAATACCTTTAGCTATCAACATATTATTAGGATAAGTGTTAGGAATAATAGAACGCAACCCAATAGGGATGATGACAGGGTATGAAAATTAAAAATATAATTAGTCCGTAAGTTAGGTAATGAAAAAATATTAGACACGTATTTTTTTTTATTTTGTCGTATAATAAAACAATACTTAGATAAAACGGATCAAAGTTTAGGAGTGGGGGCTAAAACGTCATTTCTACGTATAAAATGTACATAGAAATGACGTCACGCGCCATTTCAAATCAATATATCATCGAAAGTATTCGTTTCGGTAAGAAAAAATAAAATACGTGTCTAATGATTTAAAATATCCTACCAGATGGACATTAAAATAAAAATTAGTCATCTACCCTATTACTAAAGTTAGCTAGAGTTTAATAAAGGATACACTAGGACACAAATATCGTGCAACACGTATTGTCAGCGACGTTGGGTGAAGTAGCGCGACGTTGACGGACTTCACTCGACATGTCTGGCAACATCGCACGATATCCGACTGCCGTGTGAAACAAAACTACGTGATGTCGCCAGATATATCCGGCGTAGTTTCGCGAAACGACTATGCCTGACGTTGCTACGGACATAAGTCGCGCGATATGGCCTGATATGACCGGCGAAGTTTCGCAAAGCCACATTTTGTGAGAAGATGGACGGCTGATGAATTAATTTTAAGTAATTATAATTATTGTATTATAAGATACCTATTACATAAGTGTAAAGTAGTAAATAAGTAATTTTTAACTGTATAATGTTTTGGCTTGTTCCGTAAAATTATGCTCGTGTTTATAAAATAAATAAATGATATGTCGTCGATACATGTCGTGGCAAGAATCATTACAATATTAGACTTCCTCGATATCATGAAAGTGACCTGCCTTCAGCAGTTTAGAACTGTGTGCAATAGCTGTATTTAGTCAGTGTATGTACCTGTGGGATAAAGATTATTTAGACACCACTAACAAACGGTGAAGGAAAACATCGTGAGGAAACCTGGGCTTATAATTTATAATTATAAGTTTGAAATTCCCAACCCGCATTGAGCAAGCGTGGTGATTAATGCTCTAACCTTCACCGTATGAGAAGAGGCTTTGCCCAGCAATGGGCATTTATAGGCTGTTGATAATGATGTACCTGTGGGCTGTTGTCGACGATGACAGTCTTGCGCAGGTCTCGGCCGAGGATGGAGAGATCCTTCACGTAGTTCCCGTTCACCAGCAGGCAGTGCTCGCGGAATAGTCTGCGGTACGACAAAGTCAAATGTTTATACTACTTTTACAATTTTTATTTGTACTCCAATCGGTATACAGAGTGCCAAGCACGAATAACTATCGCATTCGTAAGCTCGTCGCTCTGATTGGCCGGGTCAAGTGAACCAACCAATCAGAATGCTTAACTCGCTCGATACTGTTACGATACGAATGCGATAGTTATTCGTGCTTGGCCCTCAGAACTGCAAATATTGTATTGTAAGTGGTATTCAATTCTATTTATTAGCCATTAGAAGGTGGCACTAGGTCCATTGAAACCTATGATCTAACTTAATTGATGATTTTATTTAATAAAAGGACGATAAACTTGTGTATTTAGGAGATATACCCATATATCCACACGCGGTTATCGGTGACCGCTCTCCACTAACTACATTATAGACCTTATATATATCCAATGTTTAGAGACTACTTTTGTATAAACATATTTAGGGGACGATTTTCAACAATTTTCAATGGTGTACCCATTATTACATTACTTAAGTAAATATAATTGCAGCATTTCCGAGTTGCCAGAAGTTATAAGATGAGAAAAGAACAATATGGCTACTTAATTTTAGGTTCTACTTAAATATCGTGCCCTCTCTTTCATTAATTATTATTTTCGGCTTATCACGCAACATTTTGACGAGGAACTCGACTAGTTTCAAGCAACGCTAAAGGCTCACATTCTTGAGCAGCATTCCGCGACCAGCGACGAGGCGACTGTCGCGCTGCTACTTAGTCGAGTTCCTCGTCAAATAATTACGTGAGTAACGCCGGAATACTGAAACGTAACTTAATTTTAAGTCGTACTCAAATATCGTGCCATCTCTGTCATTTTACAAAGAATTTGTAGAGATAGAACTATACTTAAGCACGACTTGAAATTGAGTAGCGTTTCAGTATTCCGACATAAGTCCCACAACGACAGTTTTAATACATATAAACCTCTTTTTCATTTTACAAAGAACTTTAGTGACAGAACTATACTTAAGCGAGATTTAAAATTTCTTGCCTCTCAGCTTTCCAGTATTCGGGAACCTATATCAAGATATTATATAAAGCGGAAGAGTTTGTTTATTTGTTTGTTCGTTTGAACGCGATAATCTCCGTAACTACAAGTCTGATTTGAATAATTCTTTTTGTGTTGGTTAGCGCATTCATCGAGGATGGCTATAGGCTGTAATACATCACGCTACGACCAATAGGAGGTGGGTAGAGCGTGTGAAACCGCGCGGAAGTAGCTAGTATCAAGATAAACGTAACGCAATGTTACCTGTATTTAATCCACCGCCGCGACGGGTCGAGCAGGTTAAGCAGTCTGTCGGCATAGACTCGCTTGCTGGCAGTGAACAATATCACCTCGTACAGTCGCGACACGCGCGACAGGAACTCCGCGAAGTGGGGACGAGTGCGGACGAAAACCTGCAGGGAAATGATGCAAGTGTTAGTTAATGTATTTTTTTAGTATTTTTTTTTTTAGGGAGGAAAATCATCGCATGACTGCTCCCGCCTGGGTGAGGCGGGAGGGAGTGCCAGACCCTTACTGACTAAAAACCCCCCCGTTCCTTCTCCTGCACGTCGAGCCGGAGCCCCGGTTACCCGTTAGGTTCTCCGCGACTCCGAATCGGCATCGGCCCTATTGGGCCCCATCTGTGGTGGTCTGATGGCTCTTTGAGGCGCGCGCGGAACGCGACGCGCCGTACGCTCGGGTCTGTTTCTGGTCGGACGGGGAGCCACCCATGCTCGCCGTCCGCAGGCCCGCGCTTACGGTGGCCGGAGATCGTCCCGCGATCCCCGACGCCCGGTGTGTCCTTCGCGACGGTTGGGTTGCGAGGAGGCAGCGCTTCGCTGCCTCACGCGTCCCGCCTCCTCCTTAGCTAGCATGACTGCTTCGCAAAAGGAGGAGACGGCATCCCAGTCCCCCTCGCTCCGCATCATGGCCTGCACTAGGCCCGGACGCGAGAGGTCGCCATCGCCGATCACTTCCCTGAGGGTACGGCGGTGCTCAGCCCACGCAGGGCATTCCGCTACGGTGTGTCCCACCGTGTCCTCAGGGCGGTCCTCGCAGTGATGACACCCGGGCGTTTCCTCCCGCCCCCATCAGACACAGGTACCGCCCGAAACTTCCATGTCCGGTGAGGACCTGCGTCAGGCGGTACTTGCCAACTAGTCAAAATCAATACTTTTTTCGAACTGTCAAAAACGACAGTTTTCTATGACTTTTGTCGGAGATTATGAATTGTGACGTCACGTTTTTTTAGCGTCAAATAGCAGAATTATTTCTTAAAAATTTGCTGGAAAAATACTAAAGTTAAGTTGGACATAAAATAGATAAATAGATTTCTTTTTGTTAAAATAATTTATTTTTGATTAAGAAAAGTACCTAATTAGATATCATAAAGTCCAGGTTTCCTCACCATTTGTCAGTTATGTCTAAATAATCTTAGAAAGGAAACTATTGTAAAATAAAAATACCTATAAAATAATATGTAAAAACCTGACAAATATATCAAAAAGGTTACAAAATAATATAACTCACAGTATATCGGCAGTCCTGGAATAGTACGGGGAAGTTGAAGCTGGCGTCGGGCAACTCCTGCAGCGAGCAGTGCACCAACGTCTCGTCCAGGTCCAGGACCTGTTGCAAACCAAACCAGGTCATCATCATAGCGGTTATACATGTTTAACCCTTTCAGTCTTGGTGGTCACTGTAACTAACCACCTTTTCTTAGAAATTCAATTTTTTAAGTATGCTTCAAATTGCTTTGCATTGGTTTTTAAGCATTTCAGTATAATTAAATAAAATATATTCGTAACCAGTTAAAAGTATGACTGAAAGAGTTAAAGAAGTTTCTGTGGTGTGTAGATGTCGCTACTGGCGATAATGGGCGTATCAAAATAAAATAAATAAATAAGCCTTTATTTCATTCCTATAGTAACAATGATACATTTCGATTGGTTATAATTTAACAATACAAAAGTTCAATATAGTTCAGTTCAATGGGCGTATCAGAAAGCGAAAATCAAAAGTAAAACTTAAAGCATTTATTTTAATTAAAACATAATTTGATACTTTTGAAACGTCAACGAATACAAAATATATTAAAGTCTGTCAGTCTGTCCGTCAGTTAAGTAAGGTGCTCATTCCAAAATACAGATTAGAATGGAAAAGAACGAGCAAGAAAGTCCCATAATAAAAATGAATGCTTATTACTAATAATTTAAAAAATGCGTAAAGTTGCTCCGTGCGGGAATCGAACCCACGACACGTTACGTGGTAGTCGGTTGCCCAGCTACCGCACTAACCGTGTTGTCAATATAGCAATAGTCTCATCACCCCCTAACATATGGGACTCATAACATAAATAGTGAAAAGTGGGTGTTTCATTGTACAGTAGCATTAAGTGCCGTAATGTACATCTCTGCCTATCCCTTCGGGGATAAAGGGTGTTATGTTACTTACAAGACTGAAATCGGGGCTGGTCCTAGTTTTGAGTGGCAGGGCGGGGTACCGCGCTCGTAAAGCTCCGGTGGCCACTGTCTCCAATGGCGGTAGCTGTAATAATACAAATTATTAAACAAATATAGAAAAATAATATTTGACACAATATTATAACTCGTGTCGACCAGCAAAGGACATCGTGTTCGATTCCCAGGCCGCAAACTAGTATTAAGTTTAGATTTTTAGAAAATAGTTAGTTCAAATGCTGTCTATTATTTGAGACTTACAACTGGCATAAAGAGGTACTTTTAATTCAAGTGTGGGAGAGCCATGCTTCGGCATGAATGGGCCGACTCGACTAGGGTGATACCACCAACGAGCAGAAAGCCATAGTGAAACAACAACACTTGCGTTGTGTTTCGTCGTGTGAGTGAGGTTACCGAAGGTCAAATACCCCCAGTCTCCCCAATCCCCAACAATCCTCAAATTCCCAACGACCGATAAGGCACTTGTAACGCCTCTAGTGTTTCTGGTGTTCATGGGCGACGCCAATAGCTTACCACCAGATGATCCGCCAGCTCGTTTACCGGCTTATCCCATAAAAAAATGTAGGTGCCTCTGCCTACATTCTCTCTCTTCAGGTAATAAAAAGAGTACAATGATGTTCTGTCCTAAAATCTGACTTTTCTATATCGTGAGAGTTACATAAATTCACTTCACGTCGACACTTGAAACCTTTCAAATGTAATCCCAAATAACACTTTAGTATTTCTTTAATTAATTTTATCCAAAATCAATACGTTGTAGAGAACAGTTCTATAAATAGATTTATCTATCTACTATATATTCTATTCTATACTAGCGACCCGTCCGGCTTCGCACGGGTGCAATATGCATGTATTATACATATAAACATTCCTTAAGAATCACTCTAACCATTAAAAAAACCGCATCAAAATCCGTTGCGTAGTTTTAAAGATCTAAGCATACATAGGGACAGACAGACAGTGGATAGTGACTTTATTTTATACTATGTAGTTATTTGGTCACTGTTACGGAGCTCCCTAACATCTGTGCTTTGGGAACTCTTTGGGACTGCTTTGGGAAGAAAACTTTGGGAAACACTGTAATATGTCTTGCTCAGATTGAAACTATTATGTGTTAATTGCGTTAGTGACCTTTATGGCATTACATTATGACATCAATTAAGATACTTCGTTAGTTTGATATCTGCAATCGTCGACATAACTTAATTTATTGTTAATTGTAACATTTGACATTTCTTGACATAAACTTTGTAACATTATATTTTGGACTAAGTACCCACGTTGACATTGCATCATATTTAATTATTTCTTTTTGTATGGCTTATGATTGATCGTAGCATTTTGGCATTTTTTTTAACATTAATTTTAAAATTTTGTCTGTATACCTAGTTATCTACTTGACGACATTCAAATCACATTGTAATTTAATTTGCATGCCGAAAGGTAAAATGTACTGGGTCAATTAACTTCATTCCAACTTATATGTATACCTACATTATTAGCAAATAAATGATTTCTTTCTTTCTTTGGTTAACCCAGCAATGCCGAAGTATGACATGAAAATCTCTTTGAATTGGACTCACCTGTTTTATAAAGAGGTACGGGTCGAAGGCGTCCCAGGTGGACATCTGCTCGCAATCCACGCGGTTGCTGCACGACGATATCACGTCGCCAGCTTCCTCCTTTAACAATATCATTATCTATTACACAACTGTACTAGATATCTGTCGTGTAGAGATGATAGAGTAGAAATATAGTCGTCATCATCATCATCAACAGCCTATAAATGCCCACTGCTGAGCAAAGCCTCTTCTCACACGGAGAACGTTAGAGCATTAATCACCACGCTTGCTCAATGCGGGTTGGCGATTACAAACTTATAATTAGAAATTATAAGCCCAGGTTTCCTCACGATGTTTTCCTTCACCGTTTGTCAGTGGTACCTAGATAATATTAGAAAGTAAAAAGTCACATTGGTACTTGCCATTGGTAGGTTTCGGACCCACACCCGGATGGAGCGGACGTCTTAAACCTCCGGGTAATCTCGACCACTACTATATTTCTATTCGTCGTGGCGACCCGGAGGTTTAAGAGGCCCGCTTTTCATGCATGAGGGGGCGTTCGAAACCTACCAACGGCCAGTACCAATGTGACTTTTTCCGAGTTATATATACTTTCTAAGATTATAGATACCACTGTACCGCAAAACATCGTGAGGAAACCCAGGCTTATAATTTCAGATTATAAGTTTGTAATCGCCAACCCGCATTGAGCAAGCGTGGTGATTAATGCTCAAACCTTCACCGTGTGAAAAGAGGGTCTGTTCAGCAGTGGTCATTTACAGGCTGTTGATAATAATGTTTGTAGAGTAGAAATCATTTGCCACCACCCTGTTGTTCCTGCTGGTGTAGAAAGTCGACTAAGGGATACATTATTATGTTTACAATCACTGTCAGACGTGGAAATTTTGACAGTCTCTTATGCAGAGGAGTTCCATTGTCCAACAATAGGCTGTCAAGACTTTTTTTTTTAAGGGGGGAAAATCATCGTATTACTCCTCCCTCCTCACCCAGGCGGGAGTGTCTTACTGACTAAAAACCACCCCGTTCCTTCTCCTGCACGTCAAGCCGGAGCCCCGGTTACCCGTTAGGTTCTCCGCAACCTTATATGCTTAAGCTTACTCTGAAAAACATCCTTTCATGCAGGAGTCGAACCTACGCTGCCTTTATACAGTGTATCCTATGTAATGTATGTGAAACTGACCTCTATGTCTGTCGGTGACTGCTCGTCGTGGCAGGCAAGCGCGGGATCGTCCGCCGAGATGTCCGTCCCGTTCTATACATAATAATAAACATTTTTGTTAAATAAAAAACACAATTTTATACACAACTTGGAACTAAATGTAAGTGAAGTATTAGGATTGGCCAAAGTAATCAACAGTGAATCCAAAGATGTGAAAACATGTGATTGACTTAGTATTAAATTAAATTATTAGAATGCATTTGTGTCAGCTTGTAGTTGTCATGCTCGCTCAAAGATCTCATTGGCACGTGCATTGGATCGCTCGATTCCCTACAATATGGTTGAGTTGGGCGGTGCTGGTGTACGTGTCATGTTCGTGAACGGGTGCCGTCAACTGGGAGTGGTCAGCTCCAGGCTGCATTATTTATTGTCCTTAGAATTATTTTCTTTTTCGATCTCTTTGACTGGATTTTGGTGTTACATTGTCACCTTGTTACGAGTCGAAGAGATGTAACAGTTACATTGTTCTCGCACAATCGAACCAATAAAACTATGTAACTAGAGAATTGTATGGTGATCCTGATTGAAAAAGAGTAACCTATGGAGTTTCTTGCTCGTTCTTCTTCATAAGAATCTACACCTTGGAATGAGCAAATATCTTCACTTTAAAATTTTGTTCAGGTTCTAAAGTGCCTTCCTGTTCTAATTAAAATAAATGATTTTGACTTTGACATTTTTGGCTATTAAACAAATGGGTACCTAAAGAAAGACCCGTCATACATACCCATCCAGCAGCCTCAGCCGCCAAGCTCTGGCTGATCTCCGCCAGGAACCCTGAACTAGGGCTCCTCGCAGACAGGGCCTCCAGGCTCTCTATAGCGGTGCCCTGTGTGTCACAGGTTGAAGATATCTCGCACTCAGAGTCTCTGACGTAGCCGTCCTGCTCTAGCATCGTTACGAAGTCCGGCTGTGTGAGAGAGATGGCAAGAGTTGGTTATAAAATTGTAATTTTATTTGTATTCTAACTTGCGTGAGACATACTAAATTAATTAACTATTATGTTTTTGTGTTGACTTACGTGAAGTTGACGAGGAACTCGACTAGTTTGAAGCGTCGCGGAATTCTGCTCATAAATATAAGCCCCTAGCGTGGCTTGAAACTAGTCGTTCCTCAAACAGTTACGTAAATCAAAAAACATAATAATATGCCGAAAAAGAAGAATCGGGTTCTATTTGTGGGATGTACAAAAAAAAGTATTATTGAGTTTTCAATGTTCGGAATTTTGAGTAAAAAGCATGGAAATTGGAATCGTGGTAATAAATTCGCCCTTCATTACATGGGACTCGTAAACTGGTGGAAAATGTGTGTAATATCTTAATTTGGATAGATTCTGACTAACCGAACCTATGGGATAGTTTTGCCGGTAACGCACTTGTAACGCCTCTGGTGTTCCAGGTGGCCATGGGCGACGCCGATTGCTTACCATCAGATGATCCGTCTGCTCGTTTACCGGCTTATCCCAGGAAAAGTACAAGACGTGACTTTATAATGATAGAATAATCATAATCTCACCTGCACATATTTCTCTCCATTAGTCAAGAAGTCGGAACAATTATCCAAATCGTCAGTAGTGGACGTAGGCTGGTACATCTCCAAGTCATTGCTGGACTTCCTGCGTTTCATCACTCGCTTGTCCACTGAGTTAGTCCTTGATGTCCTCTCCTCAGCCTTCTCCGTAGTCATCACTCTGGCTGCCTTGTCCGCAAGGAAGTTAATATCCTCCTCTGTAGCTGGCAACTCATCATTTATCAAGCTAGCACAGTCCGTAATAGCCATGAAATCATTCAAGCAATCATTTGGAAGACACAACTCCGATGACTCTACGTGCCCATCCGAATCAGATTCCTCTGACTTCTGCGTTGGAAAGTCCACAAAAGTAGTTGTATGAGCCTCATACATGGTCACATCATTATCTTCAGAGTAACAATTGGACTCTGGCACTACAGGCACCTTCTTAGTCTTCTTCTTTGGACTCTCATTCGTAGAACTCACTGAGGATTTTGTTACTTTAGGCGTAATCAGACCAATTTGACGAACCTTCCTAATTGGAGAGCTATTTAACGAAGCTGATTTGTCAGTTTTATCCATACGCCTCGTCTTGCGAGGAGAACTCATTGCTGAAGATATAGTTTCAGTCTTTTTAAGCTCTCGGTTCAATGAACTATGTCTTAACTGTACACTCTTTGTTGTACGGACCTCTTTGGTCTTTGAAGTAGTAGTGATCTTATCATTCTGTGGCTTCCCTTTCACTGCAGTAGACGAGGACACAGGATCTTTTGTAGAACTCCGTACAACAGTCTGAAAGATTGGTTTCTTTGTGCGGTTATCATCTTTGTGCTTGGCCTTCTTGTGCATAGTCTCGGATGGTTTCTCCATGTTCAACTTGATTCTGACGGGACGAGTTTTTAGTTTCTGAGACCGAGTGATGCAGAGTTGCGGTGTCTCAGACACCACATTTTTCACCTCACGCTTGAGGATGGCCTTCCAAGCGTTTGGTGGCTTGGTGACAGGCTTGACTGGCTTCTTGAGGCTTGTTACCTTTGTACTCCGTTTACCTGAGAGCGGCCGCTCCCTCTTCCTACTTCTTAACCGCATCGCAAGATTCGAGGGGGACTGAACCTAGGGAAGAAACTGACAGTCAAGCAAGATAGTTGTGCAATTCTAGCAGAAATTATAAGTGAACTTATTTTTACATTTATAACAGTTGTAAATTATCTTTTTGTATCTTTTAGGCATTGCTGACTTCATTTTGACTGAAGATGTATTTATATTTTTTGTGTAATGAAAACATCTACGAACATGTTAAATTGTAGTACTTATTGAACAAATGAAATGAACTTCAATAGCATCTAGCATAACTATGTCCTAACGAAATGTTCTAAAACTGTTATAATGATTAACTTTTTTTTCTAATATGTACTTACCTACATATTAAGGTAAAATAGTGGATGCCATAGAACCACCTAAGGTTATAATTTATAACTGTAATGAAATGAAAAACAACATTGTGTTGAATGTAATGAACTAATAAATAATTTCATAGTCTAGTGAAATTACTTATTGGATCTAATAGTTCAGCTATAGATTTACCATTATCTAAGGATAAGATGAAGACTAGTTTCTTATTTACTTTAATTGATTACTTTTTGGTACAAAATTATCTAAAGCAATGGGCACCTAATAAGGTGTACATTATATTGAGTAATAAAATACCCTAAAATAATAATATTTAGAACTCATTAAGTTAGGCAACTTGTACAAACTTCTAAGCCCCCAGGAATAAAGTTCCAGTCAAAACCTTCTAGGTTTGTGTACAAGTAAAATTAAAAAAGTACTGTAAATATTGCAAAAAATGTCAACAAATGATTTGTTTACATTTTTCTGTCAAAATAACATTGACATTGTTATCTGTGCCATTGACATGGATAAAAATATTTGGGCAGACATTATTTTTACAGGTGTTACATGTCTTAAAGTACGTAATCATTATTTTAACAAAATAACGAAAGTAAAATGTGACATAAAAATAGGTTGCTCAGAATATTCTATACTTACATGAACTTAATTTTTAGAAAGTTTATTTACTCCATGTCCCGTACGTTTAGCATTAGCAAAAAATTAATTAAAACAGTTCGAGTGGATAGACATAGCCCACTGGAAGAGTCCCTTTGTTTTAATTTATTTTATTTTTTTTACTTCCGTGGTCAATCGGCGCGATACACTTCGCGCCTTTTTCCAACTACACTTTTCACCACATTTCACTATCAGATTCTAATTACAACACAATTAAAAAGCTTCATGATGAATGTAAGCGCTATTTAAAACAACTATAATGAATAAACTATTAATATAACATGAACATTTGCAATGCGAAAGTAAAAAAGCGGCACTGGTACATTATCGATTTTTTCACAGCTTGACGCATGCGATTCCCACTGATGCGTTGGATTTTATTCACTCAAATTATCAGTGAAATAGTTCAATCGCGGAAATATATTGAATAATAACACGTAACGAGTAATTACATGATAACTTTAATTGTAGAACACAAAAGCCAAACAAATGTCAAAATGGCGGCGTTTCTTTTTTAACTACGACGTTTCTCTGCAGATGGCGCCGTGGCGCTGCGCGCATGCGTTTTGCAACTGCTCTGAAAAGTCGATACCACAGCTGATACGGGGTAGAACATGTTAGAATAAACACTCATGTATCTTTGAGATAAAATTAGTTTGAGGTCGCTGCATTTGGATGAATTTTTAAATTATTAATAAATTCGATTATTTGTTCGTTCTGATTGTCAAATAACGAACTCGTAGTAAAGACTTCGAGTATGTACATACCTACAATAAAACGTTACATCTGTGTTTACCAATTTTGTTTAAAGTTCTTGTTGTGTAGCCCTAAATAGCTAATAGGAGAAGAATATTTAATAATAGGAGAGCTAGTCTCCTATTATCCATAATTCAAAAAGTGTTAGGGTGACTAAGCTCCTATTGCATATGGTTCTTAGAAGATTATCTCTCCTGTCACATATCTGCACATCCCTCAGAAATGAATAGGCGTAAAGTTGTTTAAGTAAAAAAAATATTCTATGAATCTTTCCAAGGGTGACAAAAGAGGTGATTAAGCGAGAAATGTTTTTGATATGAAGGAAAAATAATTCGCAAAGGAGGATTAAGAATGGATTGATTTTCGATAAAATTGGAGACTGGAAAAATATACATAATTATTTTGCCTACCTTATGTAACACGGAAAAAAGAAGAAAGAACAGGAAGAAGAAAATTTTCCAATTTTATCCATACCCTAGTACGTAGTAAAAATTCTGCGTGAACGGAAACGAAGTGTAATTGTCATATTTTAATCATACCATATGAAAACGATTTCCAATAGTAATTGGAAAGTAACTGAAGTAGGACTGTAGAAGAGTTTATTTATTTAACGGAAAACCCTGTTAATGCCCAGAATCTGCTCTTTATTTTTTGTTACTATCTAAGTTTATTCAAATCACTGATATACTATAAAAGGTAGTAATGTGATCAAGACCTAAGAAATGGGAGTTTTGAATTATTCTATACTTGTAGTATTATTAAGGTATTTTATATATTTTTAGTGTTTTACGTCCTTAAAAATAAAATAACATAAATCTGTACTGTCAACATAAATGTTTGTATTATTTTTCATTTTGTCGGGTCAGCTTTGAATTTAGATAATAGCAACACACACTACAACATTCGCCAACCGCCAAAAACGACGAGTCGAAAGTTGTTGTTCCTTGTTTGTTTATTTTCATTTGACTTTAAAGTTTTGTTTAGAAACAAATTGTGGCGAACAAGAATAATAAACAATAACTAAACCATTTATTAATTTGTGTAACAATGTCAAGTGCTTCAGTAACTTCTTCAAAACGCGAGGTAATTTATTTTAATACTTTTGAAAACCTTTGCGACCTTATTGCAACAACATTTTATTATTGTAATCTTGTTTTAATCTTATTCGCTAAGAACTAGGATTTAGGGTATAACATTAAGTTATTCACTGCTTTAACATTTGTTTTTAAACCAAGAAAGTCAATGCTTTTATGATGTAGGTACTTACCTCAGTTGTTGTATTTTATACCTAAATTAAGTCCACAATTTTTATTTTTATTTCAGGTAAGTAATAAACAAATTAAATGAAGACATTTTTAAAATTTTTAAGCTATTTATTATTTTATACATCTCGGCTGCACTAAAACAAAATAATGTGGCCGGTCATGTAAAAATTATTATTGTCTTTTTTTTTCAGAAACAGAACATAGAGCTAGCTCAAGAAGTAGACTCAATGAAGGCAATGAACAGCAGTCTTAGAGCCTACTTGGAACATTTGAGGGTGTTGAAAAAAAACTTGTTGACTATGAATGATAACTGCACACAACTGAAGAAAGTAAATGATGAAATTATTGAAATTGTTAATAATAAATAGCTATTTTAAGTAATTTAGGGATAAATAAATAATTTAAGTTTCATGCCTTATGTCTTTTGATCGTCGAATAATAGGCAGAATACAGCCTGCATATGGAATAAGCTATTACCTTATACTATATTTAGGAATGAAGAAACAGAGTTTTATCATTCTATTGAACAGCATGTAACTTCAAAAAAAATGTCTTTTGCAGCAAAATTTCTCTTATTTTAAAGCTAACTAAATTGCTCTTTATGACATCTGTTACCTAATAATAAAATACTTGTATCAGAAACTATTTATCAAGAAATAGAAAGTTTTTGATTTTTTATGGGATAAGCCGGTGAACGAGCAGTCGGATCACCTGATGGTAAGCAATTGTCGTCGCCCATGGACACCTAGAACACCAGAGGCGTTACAAGTGCGTTACTGGCCTTTTGGGATTTGGAATTTGAGGCTTGTTGGGGTTTCAAAGGAGGTGCAAAGGTGGTGGAGGGAAATAATTTTCTTTTTTTATGTTTCTTATTTTGTGCCAGTATGAGTTGTCTCACAAGAGACAATTCGTACTCATACATGTGAGTTGTCTCAGTTCATGAACTTGCGATAACCCGACCACCAGCCATGTCGCGTGCTTTAATCAGAGAAATAAAACAAGATTTTATTGTTTGTATTCTATTTTATTAATATATTTGTCTATGTAGTTATATTCTAAGTCTAAGACCTCATCATGTTGACTCGTATCCCTCCGTGTTGGCTGTGGCCGGTGCCTGAAGCTCAATAGGGGAAGCGGCCGGCGGCGGCGCCGGTATTGGCATGCGCACTGCCATCTTAGGTGGGGCTTTTTCTGGAGTTAAAAAATTGTGATTAATAGGTAAGTATATACTGGAAGAATTAAAACAAATAAGTACTGAATAAGGCATTTATTTATTTTATTGTTACTAAAATAAGATTGACTCGTTGGCCGAGTGGTCGCAGGTGCGACTGCTGGGCAAAGTATTGTAATACTTAATAAGTATGTGTAATAGTATTGTAGTATTGTAAATGTAATACTACCCTGTAGGGTTTTTTAGAAAAAAAAAATCTGTTGTATCACAAAGTCTAGAATTGTGCCCGGTAGGTACCTATATGGCAATAGACTCACCCTCTATTACATGGGACTCGTAACATAAAATTAGTTGAAAGTGGGTACTACATTGTACAGTGGCATTTTAAGTGCAGTAATGTACACCTCTGCCCACGCCTTCGGGGATAAAAGGCGTGATGTTATGTAAAAATAAGAAGCTTTGATCATTTATTTTTTAGTTAAGACATTTCTCGTTTTACATTTTGATCTCAATTCGAAGGAAATGACCTAGTCTAGTACCTAAGTATTGAAGGTGGTGGGTGGTGCACAGATATAGTAACTGTAATATTTACTTACCTATCATACAAATGGAATACTGAGCTGTATCGCAGGGCAATCCATAAACAAGACCAACGAGATGATCCTGTCTGTCTAAGTTTAGGCAAGAATTGTCCATCGTGTATTCTTCATCCAACCACGGCGGCATCTAGCGATAAAGAGAATAACTAGTGAGAAAGCGCCATCTTGTAAAAGATATAGGAACTTAGTTTTACGTGAGTTTAGCGCCATCTAGATACAAAAAAATAAAATTGATAAATGACTGCCATCTAGTGGTGAACAGCAAAAGTAAAGTAAGCACTAACATCTAGTGGCGTATAGCATAACTACCCCAATTAGTGACATCTAGTGATATATAGATTAACTATATGAATGATAAAGCTCGGTTTATATGGGGACTATTTTAATTCATGTCGGGATTTTTTTTTAACTATTTCATAAAGGAGGTTCTTGTTTGATCTGTATGTATGTGTGTATGTATGTATGTATGTGCGTTTTAGTATATTAATAAACCGACTTCAAAAGAAAGGTTGAAGTAGTTTTATTCTGTAAGTAGCTTATTATCTTACGTATGTTCCTGGGTGAAAACTGTCAACTGCTTTAGGGTCTGGGATGCGTTTTCCATTGTTGGGATTGTACCAGGAGTAACTGACGGTCTCCGTTAAAATATCTTTTGTCATATTTAGACGTCCAGCGATCCAGATGTGTTCGATTGCTGGAAGAAAGTAAAAACAATCTGTGAGTACCTATTAATATTATAAAGCTAATTATTTTATTTATTTTGCCATTCAACGTGGCAATGCTGCCAGTCTTTTGGGCACCCTACCTCACAATAGCGATGAGGATTTTTTTTTATTTTGCTGCCTTAACTCGTCGAGTACCGGTTTTATAGACACAATTAAAGAACAATAGGTCGCGGTCACCGGTGACCGCTTGGTGTTTGACAGTTTAAGATAGCATTTTTTTTAAGGTGTAATTATTTATTTAATTTTTTTTCTTATCAATGTTCATGAGGTAGAAAGCTATCATAAAAGAAATAAAGGGGTTTTATTATTTTAATATTAAGAAGCTGAAGAAATTGTTTGTTTCTCTGTTTAAACTTTGAACACAATAATCTCTGGGGGCTGAACTACTGAAATGAATTAAAAAATAGCTTTTTTATAGGACAGTCCATTTGTTGACGGCGGTCCAAAGGCGGCGCTGATCGCTTACCATCAGGTGATCCGGCTGCTCTTTTGCCTGTCATATTTTTTACAATTTTTGTCTGTCTGTCTGTTTGTACTGGTGTTTGTAACTAACTGTTGCGGGGAACAGTTAGTTTATATTAATATTAATTGGGGTATATAGGTACTCACGTTCTTCCTTATTTTCGCCCATAACCAGCAGTAATTGAATTAAGATATCGTTATTATCCAAAAATGCGAGAGTTCCGTTAAGTTTCGCACAGTTCAAGTTGGCGTGCTGCCAGTATAACAACTGCCTAACTAACACGTAGTAATACATGTCGTCGCTAGGTGTCGCTTGTGTGATCATCTGAGATGCTGAACCTGGGGTAAACAGATAAATAAGAGATAAAGATTATAAATCGTCGACTGCTTCGTTAGCCGAGTGGTTGCAAGTGTGACTGCCAACAACGCGACTCGGGTTTGATTCCCAGGTCAGGTCGATTCTCAGTACTACTTATTGGGTTCTTAAAAATTCTTAGTTGAAGCACGGAGTCTGGAAATAAATGTGGCTGGTATATGGCAATAGGCTCACCCCCTGTTACATAGGACTCATAACATAAATAGTGAAAAGTGGGTGTTACGTTGTACAGTGGCATTAAGTGCCGTAATGTGCACCTCTGGCTACCCCTTCGGGGATAAAAAGCGTGATGTTATGTTAAGATTAATCTTGATAATAATTAGGAAATGAAAAAGGTTGTAGTATAATTATTACATCTTTCGTAAAATAACATAGGTACCTACAATAGAGTAGTTTCTTAAATTTTATTTTAATGTCCGTCGGTAAATTAATTTAAAACATTAGACACGTATTTTTCTTTTCTCACAAAATTAAATACTTTCGACGATATATTGATTTCAAACATCGTGTACATTTTAGAATGTGACTACATTTTGTAGCACGTTGTGACGTAACGACCACCCACTCCTAAACTTAACGCCATATTATCTAAGTATTGTAACTTTATACGACAAAATAAAAAAAAATGTGTCTAATATTTTCTCACTATCTAACTGACGGACTAATTCGATGTTTAAATTTCGTACCCTGCAAACGACCCCACTATATTTTTTTAAAGCAAAGTGATTTGAACATAATTTTGCCACAGAGTAAATTCAGAAGAGTAATTCTTCTTCCATATAAGAACAACAGAAGATGTCGTTTCGACTTTTTGAGCTGTCTTTCTTCTAAATTGCATCTAACTAAGGCAAGGTGTAAAGAGATAGTTATGCAGGGAAAAAAGGGATGGCCACCGCTAACTACACCGAATACTAACCAGACCGTCGCGCCCCCAGTTCTACGTCATCTCCTTGTGCTGAAAGTAGGCAACTGACATTTAGACGACTCCGTTAATGGCAGACATAGCGATGGATAACATTTAACGGATTAAAATGTAAACTAAAGCAATATTACATAAGTGTTATTTAGGAATGTGTTTGTTTATCCAAGGTTGTTTATATTGTTGTCGTTAACGTATATATTTGTAAAACCTCATTTTATAAAAATTCGATTTCGAGATTGATTTATGATAGCACAAGTTTAAACCTTACTGGATGTTGGTTTCTATTTTAAATGGATAATCCTGTACTTATTATAAATACGATAAATAAATAAAAAAAAGAAAGAAAGAAAACCCATTTATTACATCGCGACAAACAACAAGAATACAGGCCCACACGGCCCATGGTGCTTACTCTTGAAACCAATCTCAATATCAATGCAATTTCAATCCAATAAAATCTCAATAATTATTCAGTGTCAAACGGGTCTAACAACCCGTATCGTAGCAGTTAAAATAGTATCCAAAGTCAAACTCAATAACATACAACTCAAGTATAAAGCCAAACTCAATAACATTTAGTTCATTCAATGTCAACGCAATTACGGATGCAATGGGCGCTAGTGTTGCAACTTAAGAGTACGAAAGTTCACAATACCAATGTCGATCGATCGGAATTGGATTCAAGAGTAAGCCCCCTGATCATTTCTTTTTCTTTCTTTCTTTTCTTTTTATATAAACGTTGCCCCCACACTTTAATTTTCTTCTGTATCGTGGGTGCGTTTACAAACATACAAGTTCACACACACATGACACCCTGAAATGACAATTTGTGGATCGCTCAAATTGTTCCGTGGGGGAATCGAACCCGATACACGTTGTGCAGCAGAGGGTTGCCCAGAAACCGCGCCAACCTTGTGCAAGATAAGTTATTAAATGCAGCTAATTAATCGGCCAGTGTGGGCAGGCATCCCGCTAGGTGGACCGACAACATCGCCAGAGTTACGGGGAGCTAGTGGATGCAACTGGTGAGTTGTCGTTCGACGTGGAGGACTAAGGGGGAGGCCTTTATCCAGCAGTGGACGTCTTTCGGCTATTGATGATGATGAACCAGCCTATCTGGAAGTCATTGGGCGACGCCTATGTTCAGCAGTAGACGTCTTAAGGCTGGACGATGAATTAAAACTTTCTCTTCTTTTTTGTCTTTGTCTAACCATACAACGTTGTTACCATCCGTGCGTCACTGCATGGGTGCCCACTGAAAATCAGTGCTGGGTAACATGTATGCCTGGCTTATACTGAGTGGGTGACCCTTTTCTTCCCTTGTTTGTTTGTTTTAAATAAATGTTTTTTCTTTCTTTCTTTCTTCAATAGTAGCGGTTGTGTAAAAGTCAGCTTACCCTCGTAACATATGAACTGCATCTTCCTCTCACACCTTGACTCCAGGAAGACGGGAGTGTGGGACGCGTGTCTGTCCAGTTGTAGACAGCCGCTCTGTTTGATGTTGTTCCTGTCCCTAAACGAAAAAAATGGTTTAAGGGCTCGTACACAAAACTGCGATGCGATGCGAATTCGCAGTGCAAAAAAATAGTTACGACAAGAATGGGGATGATGACAGGGTATGAAAATTAAAAATATAATTAGTCCGTAAGTTAGGTAGTGAAAAAATATTAGACACGTATTTTTTTATTTTGTCGTATAATAAAACAATACTTAGATAAAACGAATCAAAGTTTAGGAGCGGGGGCTAAAACGTCATTTCTTAGTATAAAATGTACTGAGAAGTGACGTCACGCGACATTTCAAATCAATATATCTTCGAAACTATTCGTTTCTGTGAGAAAAGAAAAAATACGTGTCTAATGTTTTTAAATAATCTACCAGACGGACATTCAAATAAAAATTAGTCGTCTACCCTATTGTTGCTATGCGATTTCGTGCGACATGGCGTCTCCCAGGGTGACCATTCCTTCGACGACCGTCAATCGTATTAAACGTATTTTAAATTGAAAACTAGGTCGTGGCATGGACCGTAAAAAGAAGTGTGCACTTTTGTTATTGCTTAGGAGATACAGGAAAAAGAAACAAAGAAGATTTTGATGCGCGATGCGAATCAATTCGCAAGATCTTGCGATGGGTAGAGGGTGCTGTCGCATTTTTGCGGTGCGACGTCGCATCGCAGTTTTGTGTACGAGCCCTCACTCACGTAAATATACTGAGTACGCGACCGGGCACGCTTCTCATGAGGGAGAGTCCCTTTGTGACTTGGAACTAGTAGAGCTTTTCTCAGTACATTTACGTGAACACTAATATACAGGTGTAAACGGAACGCTCCCGAAAAACGCTGACAAAAATAATAGTTTTTAAAATTTTTATCGTTGTTTAACTACATGTTATGCATACAACGTGTCGCGGAGAACCTAACGGGTAACCGGGGCTCCGGCTCGACGTGCAGGAGAAGGAACGGAGTGGTTTTTAGTCAGTAAGAGTCTGACACTCCCTTCCTCCTCACCCAGGCGGGAGCAGTCATTCGATGATTTTCCCCCCTTAACTCGTCGAGTACCGGTTTTATAGGCACAATTAAAGAACAATAGGTCGCGGTCACCGGTGACCGCTTGGTGTTTGACAGTTTAAAAAAAAATGCATACAACGTCAGCCTTGAGCGGTTAATTACTACAATTATTACATAAAGGAGACATTTAATTCCTTACTTTCATGAAATTAAAACTGGTTTTTGACCACAATCTATCAGCGTTTTTCGTGAGCGTTCCGTTCACACCCTGTGTTGTCGAAAAACAAAAAAAAACCAATGAACTTACCTCATATAGAACCCAAAACACCTTTGACTGGCTATAACCCGACTAATAATGCATTAAAAAAGTTACCTAACGATGATAATCAGTTGATTAGCAAACAGATCGTACCTCATAGGCGGCCAGGTGTCTGCCGTGGCGTCTGTTAGCACTGGTATCGTGAACAGACTGACTCCCGTGTCTATCCAGTTCCACCGCCCGAGGTTACCCTTGGCTCCCACCCAGGCGTTCTCGATACCTGTGACAGAAAAAGCCATCATCATTGTCATCATGCGGTTTGTGGCTGTCCACTACGTATTGCATTACATAAAAGTAGGTTTCTATAATGTCCACGTTTGACAGACGAAGACGACTTCTAGATGTAAAAATATAATTTTCGGTATTTATTACTTACTCGGTCGGTTTTTCAACATGGTCATTCCTAATTTCCGTAAGCACTTTAAACTTGCGATATTGGCTAAACTGCAAAAAAATAATAATCTGAAAATGAGTTCAACAACATCCCCAGTAACATCCTTACAGGATTAATTGTCAAAGAGGATAAGAAACCAGGACGTAAAGAATTACAAGACAAAGTTTATTATTTAAAAAACAAATCAAGTCATACTTCAGCACGAATGGGTCGGCTCGACCGGAGTGATACTACAGCCGAGCAGAAAACCGACGTGAAACAACGATATCGTTGTGTTTCGTCGTATGAGTGAGGTTACCAGAGGCCCAATTATCTCCCCATTCTCCCCAATCTCCGGATCCCCCACAATCCTCAAAGTCCGAAAATGCCGGTAACGCACTTGTAATGCCTCTGGTGTTTCTTGTATCCGTGGACGGCGCAGATTGCTTACCAACAGGTGACCCGTCTGCTCGTTATACCGGCTTTTCTTATAAAAAAACAATCTAACAACAATGTTCAAAGAATATTTTTATAATAACTATCGTGAGACATACTAAATTACCGAGAAAAGTTCTACTAACTAGTTTCGAACCACAGAGGGGTTCTTCCTCATGTAGGCTGCGCGACATCGACGCGACCGCGCACGCTGCTCATAAGGAAGAACCCCTCTGTGGTTCGAAACTAGTAGAGCTTTTCTCAGTATATTCACGTGAGTAACCCGCGATTTAATGTTCAACGAAATTAATAAACAATGAATTCCCTTACGCCATCCCCCTGAGCACGCAGTAGGCAGCAGACTGGTGCCAGTCCATCTTTCCATCATACAGCCGGTACAGACCGTGCCTACAGCGCACGTTGTTCACCTCTGTCACTCGTATCATCTCGTGGGCCTCTGCAGTACAATAGAAGCAAGAGTTACACACCACAATAACATATTTAAGAGCAATAATTGGTTTATTGACTTATTAAAGATCGTAGGGAGCCTCTGTTTGAAGGTCTCGCGGAGAACCTAACGGGTTACCGGGGCTCCGGCTCGAAGTCCAGGAGAAGGAACGGGGTGGTTTTTAGTCAGTAAGAGTCTGACACTCCCTCCCGCCTCACCCAAGCGGGAGAAGTCATAAAAGCTATTGTTTTCAGTAATCACGGTATTTTTAACCTACAAGATTATCACAATATAACATCACGCCTTTTTATCTCTGAAGGGGTAGGCAGAGGCGCAAATTGCCACCGTGCAATGTAACACCCAATTTTCACTATTTATGTAATGAGTCCCATGTAATAGGGGCTATTGCCCTATACTGGTGGGCACAATTCCAGACTGCGTGCTACTACTGAGATTTTTTTTTAAACCCAGTAATACTTTTGCCAATTTTAATACTGCCCGACCCGGGAATCGAACCCGAAACCCCTTGTCCGGCACTCGCACTTGCAACCACTCGGCCAATGAGGCAGGAAGTCAATGGATTATCAATATCATCAAATATTACGATTGCACACCATTCACTATCTGTTTCCATTTTTATTTATTTATTGATAGGTTCTTGACAGTTTACAAAACTAAATGATTACAACCAAAACAGATATTTGATTAATTACGCTAAATATGAGGAACACGTGAAAAAGCAGAATTAAATTACAAAAGTGTTGTTACATTTATGAAGGAAACAGCTATCTATGTCAGTCGATGATTTTACCGTATAAAGACCATTTTACCGTTTAAGATCCAGTTTGTCAGACACAATAATAAATCAATCCAATCTCCCCAATCCCTGAATCCCCAACAATCCTCAAATTCCTAATCCCTAAATGGCTGGTAACGCACTTGTAACGCCTCTAATGTTCCATGTGTCAATGAGCGACACCGATTGCTTACCATCGGGTGATTTGTCTACTCGTTTACCGGCTTATCCCATAAAAAAGAGGTCAGACAAGTAGTCTTTACAGCCTAAATAATTAAACAAAGCAATAAAGATCTCTATTCTCGACCCTTGACCATTCTTCTCTCACCTCTTTCACATGCAAAAGCTCGTTCCAAATGGCAGGGCAGGTCGAGGAACACCGGTCTGTCGTGGTTGACTCTCTCCAAGGCCACGCAGTCAGCTCCCGTCTCTGGGACAGGCACGTGGGTCCTGTTTAGCCACTGTCGAAGAAGATCAGCATTTTGTCTTTCAAAGGTACTTAAGTATTTGGTCCAGCAGAAAACTGTCACGAGGTCTTGGTGACTGAGGTTACAGCTGGAAAAATATGAGGCAAGTACACGTTGCTATTGAACGTATTAAAAACTAGCTGTTGCCCGCGACTTTGTTCGCGCGGAATAGTGATTCACAGTTCCTCCCCCGTAGGTGGTAGCGTGATAATATGTAGCCTATATATTGACCAGACCTGTCAGTAATATTCATGCAAATTTTGTAGTAACTCCATGTAGTACTTTTTCATTTTAGCATATTTCATACATCTGTATGTATGTCCGGGCTAACAGACAAATATTTTAAAAGCCATATTTTTCGCTTCGGTGTCGACTGTAGATCAGACCTCAAGTATTTAAAAAAAAAAATTCAATGTACAGTTTTGACTTTTCTACGATTTTACTATATGTACCTACCTATAGATATGCCAAGAATGATGATATTCAAATGAACAGGTTTTTGAGGTGTCATCTTTAAAACCACTTATAAACTATCTAATAATGATGAATACAATGTTCGCTAGAGCTTTAGACAAAGTTTCTAAACTAACACAACCTTTTGCTATCGCAGCGCCATCTAGCAAGCGCGAAATTGAAATTGTCAAACATTTCTATTAATCAAAGTAGCTTTCCCTTACCATAGGATAATGTCTGGCGACATTATCATCCTGTTCACTGGCTAGCACATCTAATGCAGTTCTCCGGAGCTCCATGCCAGGTCCCCATCGATACCCTGCAGCATCTTCAGCTGAATCTCTTCGAGCACCCACCCACACTGAGGCTAGAGCTGGAGTAAAGAACAAAATAAGCGAAAAATTTAACGACGGATAACGTTGAAGGTATTTATTTCTTAGCGGGTTGTGGAGGACAGATGACCGTTGAAGAATATGGTAAGAATGTAGTTTTAAATCATCATTAATCATCATCATCATCATATCAGCCATAAGACGTCTACTGCTGAATATAGGCTTTTAGATAGGCCGGTTGGAGGCGACCTGCATCCAAGACTTAGCTAGCAGATTGTAATAAAATTATCAGCATTGATCACTCCACGTAAGAATCTGGCTAACTTGACTAGGGCTCAACCAAAAAGTTTCGGAAATGCTAACAGAAGGAAAATGAACCGCAGAAGACCCCTTTCTTCCTCCTCAAAGTAGGAAATTGAATTAAGAGTTATTTTGCAACGAAATTCTAAGCAGTATCTAGCATACTTACAAAATTGTGACTCCGATAGTGCTTCAGCTAAGAACTCTGCCTTTTCTCTTGTGTCCAATATGGCGAGGGTGCCGTTGTGGTAGCCCCTGCAAAAAATTGGAGTCCCGATCAATACGGTTTCAAAAATTTAACAAGATTCACTGACTCAAAGGAAAATAATAAAATGGATTGGTTTGGTAAAGTTCGAGGACACCAATCAATGGTAAGTTGAGTCTATCTAATATGGCCGCCAGATGACTGGGTTTTAAATGTGCCTATAATGTATTCTAATAATGACTGTCGATAATAAAAACATCTTAAACTTGCATCAGAAACATATAAATATACATTTACATAAGTATAAACCGACGAAGATATACCTACTCTTTTTTAGTGTCTCCAATAATGCTAATCAAGTTCGATGTATAAAATGTTTTCGGTTTCGCTATTTTTACCTGATCGCTTACCAATTTACCATCAGGTAATCAATCAATCAAAGCAATCTTATTCCATAAAAAAGTCGCGGAGAACCTAACGGGTAACCGGGGCTCCGGCTCGACGTGCAGGAGAAGGAACGGGGTGGTTTTTAGTCAGTAAGAGTCTGACACTCCCTTCCGCCTCACCCAGGCGGGAGCAGTCATTCGATGATTTTCCCCCTTAAAAAAAAAAAAATCCATAAAAAAATCATAAATAACCCTGAGCTTCCAGAGGGTTAAGCTCTGCGGATGAATTTGGACTCCCGCGGCCCCGCGCGCACGTGCGAGAAGACACTGGGGTGGTTTTAGCCGGTAAGAGTCCGGCACACCCCTCCTGAAATCCTCATGGATGAGGATTTCCCCCCATTAAAAAAAGGGTGGTTCATTTAAATAACAGTAGGTACTTGGTAGTGGTTTACCCATAATATTAATATTTCTGTGGGTTAACCGAACACTTTTGTTCCGAACTTCTGTAGGTACCAACATAATAAAATAAAATGATACTATTAGAAAACTTAAATCCGTCACAGAGTTTTTTTACCTTAATCTTTGTTTTTAGAAACTTATTAGTTTTAAATCACATTGGATTTTAGAAACTGAGAAGGCAGGGAAAATAAAAAATACTTACCACCATATAATAATGGACCTTATATTGTTAATCGAAATCAAATTACAAACTCAGGACTAGCTAAACCATAATTCTATTAATTGGAAAGAAAAACAACAACAACACATAAATAGGCATATTGACTTTCAAATAATAATATTAAAATTCCACACCACCACAACACCAAATACGCCATCTCAATAACTTCCGAGTTCCCGCCATCTTAACTTTTTTCATTTTTCGAACCACAGATTGCATATTCTTTCTACGCGATGATGTTTCGTTTTTTTCTCTATGCTTCTAACAATATAATAAAAAAGGTAGGATTTGATACCTCCCTACATAAAAAAATCTTAGACAATAATGTATTATGTAATTTGACCGAAATCAATGCACTACGGCTTATGAAGGCGCGGCGGCGAGGAGAGAGAAGGAGTTCACACTACAGTTGAGGATATTAAGTAGGCAGTTTACAAACCGACACAAGATCTTCGCATTCTCCCAGTTGACAGCCATCACCTGGACGATGTATTCCTTATTGTTGAACACGTAAGACTCCCACTTCGGAGACGTTATCTGAGGAACTGAAACAATGTAGAGCTGATCAAGTTATAATTTAGCTGGATTATAGATTTTTTTATTACATACATAACATAACGTCACGCCTTTTATCCCCGAAGGGGTTGGCAGAGGTAATACCCACTTTTCACTATTTATGTTATGAGTCCCATGTAATAGGGGGTGAACCTATTGCCATATACCGGGCACATTTCCAGGCTCCGTGCAACCACTGAGATTTCTTTTAAAAACCCAGTAATACTTTGCCCGACCCGGGATTCGAACCCGAGACCCCTTGCCCGGTAGTCGCACTTGCGACCACTCGGCCATCGAGGCAGTCATTTTTTTATTACTTATTAATTATCTAGGTTAGTTTCTCTAATTTATTGTCAAATACAATGCATGTATATTTTTCTATAAATATAAACGAGGCAATATTGTTATAATAACTATCCAAACTAAATTAATTTATTCAAATTAAAAATGTTTAAATTAATAACGGTTTATTGACGTACGTCAGTGCTGCACGACGTCATCGCGACCACATACGCTGCTCATAATGAAGAGTCCCTCTGTGACTCGAAACTAGTAGAGCTTTTCGCAGTATATTTACATACATACATAACCTCAAGCCTGTCTCTCATGGTGGTAGGCAGAGACTATGGAACGCCAATTGCTACTCAGTATATTTACCGTTATTTTTAGTTACTAAACGAGGCAATTGTTTTTCAAACAATATGGGCGAAAAACCGAAATCAATGCAGACGTAATATTCTCGAAACACACAATAAAACTACATTAATTACCTGCTCCATCCACCAACACCCACCAAAGAATAGACAACTAACATACAGAAGACATGACTTTAATGATAGTTCTAGATACTATATGTACTTTTTGGAAGAAAAAACGAAGAACAAACAAAAACTATTCAAAAAGGTAAACTAGAACTACATAAAGATTGCAGTGAATTAAAATCAACAAGAAGACCAAAGAAAAAAAAACAAACGACTCTAATACTACAAAATAAAGACTCATATTCAGTACGAAATACTAGAACAGAGTGTGAAAGAGATGAGAAGAAAAATTTGAATAAGAAGACCCCTACCTGAGGTGATATTTTTGGCCTGTTGAGTAGGCGTTCGTATCACTTCGGCACCCATGTTAATGCGGATTCTGTTCATTGGTCCGTCTGTAGTTCTTCGTAAAAATCCAGGGGGCCTTGATGGCCAAATCGGATGACCCATAAACATTTGACGCAAACGAAGTGAGTTATCCCGTTGTTGGACATCAATGTTATCGAATTCTGAAGCAGGAACACTTGCTTTATATTATTCTTGAGTTTCCCCCTACGAATTTGCGATAGCTAGATGGCGGTAGTGTATTTTTTGGTTTGTTAATAAAAGTTAATTTGAATGACTGATTTGATTTTAGTAAATGTTTTGGTTGCGAGGAACACCATTAAGTAACACGCAAATATTTTCATAAAGTGAATTTATTTATAAGTGCAAGTTTCTAATTCAATTATGATGTGTTTAGTACCAACCGCGACCGATTAGAACGTGTGTCAACACCCTTAGATGAATAAAAATATCTGAAAAATGATTTTAATTTTATTTTGTATTTAATGACGATGTACAATATTGTATTTTTTTAAAAGTGCTACATATTCAAAAAGTCTTACTACTTATCAAATTAAAAAAAAAACTCAATCACACCAAAACAAAAAAATTAAAAAAGGCAGAAAACAAAATTTACAAAAATATAGGTACCAACCTCTATATTGCTCATGGTAACTGGCTGAACACGAATAAAAGTACAAAATAAAAAGATAAAAAGATTCCAAAATGGCTGCCATCGCGCCGTGCACGGTCGGCGCGACTTCTCGCGAATAAACTAAAACTAAACAGGTAACAAACGTTGTAAATTCCTTTAATTGTAAAAATGTGACATGGTGGATTGTTATTATTATTGCAACGTAATTAGAATAGTTTATTGAATATCGCTGAGGCTATATTTTGAAAATAATGAATGAAACATGTGCAATGTGGTTGCATATCTATGAATCATAGGAATGCACGCGCAAATTCATAGACAATAGAGATACTTTTCATTACTTTTTTATGGGGCACTGGCCAAACTAGCAGAGTGATCATCTGATGGTTAGTGATGACATGGGCACTTGCAATATTATATTAGGTACGTTGCTTACCTTTGCAGCTTTGAGCCCCTTCGGTAATCTCACCCTTTTGACGTAAGACAATGGGGCGTTGTTTTCCGCCGACATGGAGAAGAGCCATGCTCGGCATCACAGAAAACCATCGTGAAACAACGCTTGAGTTATGTTTCGTCGTCTGAGTGAGCTGAATGACCTTCCCTCTTCCCCAATCTCCCCAATCCCTGAATAATCTTCAAATTCCTAATCTCCGTAAGGCAGATAACACACTTGTAACGCCTCTGGTGTTGCGGGTGTCCATGGACGACGCCGATTGCTATTATCATCAGGAGACCGGGTGCTCGTTTGCCGGCTTATCCCATAAAAAAGTCTAGTAGGTTTTTTGTGAGGATAACTCCGGTTGAGTTGGGGTATTCGTGCCGAAGTATAGTTAATAATATAATTATGTACTCTGTGTACTTTTTTATGTACTCTACAGTTTTACCATCTCTACAGGATAGGACAAAAGTGGTCTAGAGTTTCGGTTTTAGCGTGTATAAGTCAGTCTCTGCCTATTCCATGCAGTAAATGGCGTGATGTTATGATAATCTGTTTTCAATAGTCTTTCTCAGTCTATTATGAAACACTTCGATGATAAAATAACAAAATATTGCATAATTTATCGTAATTGCTTTTACAATGGACATTGTAGGAATTATTAACATAATTCAGGTAATATTACGACTGATTTTTACTGACTAACTTATCTTAGTTGACCTAGCATTACCTTTTTTTTTAAGGGGGGAAAATCATCGAATGACTGCTCCCGCCTGGGTGAGGCGGGAGGGAGTGTCAGACTCTTACTGACTAAAAACCACCCCGTTCCTTCTCCTGCACGTCGAGCCGGGGCCCCGGTTACCCGTTAGGTTCTCCGCGACTAACCTAGCATTACCTAACTTACGCCTAATTGTGAAACGTTAATTAGTGACGTAAAGCTGCGAAAACTTAACGGGTTACCGGGGCTCCGGCTCGAAGTGCAGGAGTAGGAACGGAGTGGTGTTTAGTCAGTAAGAGTCACACTCCCTCCCACCTCACCCAGGCGGGAAAAGTCATTATATGACTTTGACCCCTCAATAAAAATCTGTCAGTGGTATCAAAATAATTTTGGGCAACTGTTTTTTTTAATTAAAACCTTACCCCGCACTAGGATTTTCTTCAGCACTACAAGTTCACATACACATGGCATCCAGACACGAAGCAACAATTTGTGGATCACATAAAGGGTTGCTCCATCCAGGGCATCGCTGCATCGAACCCACTAAGTATACGTTGCGTGGGAGCTGGTTGCCCAGCCACCGCATCAATCAACTGTGTAGTCTCTACGTCACACTAGTATAGTTTCTTTGTTTGTATATTTGGATGTTTGTCCATCAAACGCTGAATCTACTGAACGGATTTTGATGACATTTGGTATACAGGCAGGTTATAAGCTGACTTAGGTGATGGGATTTTTAATCTCGATTGAATGCTCAAGTGGATTAAAACAGGAATTAGCGGGCAAAGCCGCGGTTAACAGATAGTACTAGTAGTTGAAATACAACTCGAAAATAGTCACATTGGCACTTACCAGGTTTCGAGTCCTTATGAATAAAAAAACATTAATACCGTACCGGTCAATAACCTCATTTCATCTGGTTAAGCAGATCTCTGATGATGTACAGCGTCAGTTGAGTAAAGTGAAATAAAGCGGTTTATTACTTTATTTTGCACTGTATCAAGAATATTGAAACAAATAGATGGTAAATATTATTTTTTCCTGTGGACGGTGTTATGTGAGAATTTTTTATAGGCAAGATTTTTATTATTGTGAAATTATGTTTTTTATATATTATCATGTGGTAGTTAATGCGGCAGCCGAACAAGGGGTCTCGAGATAATTTTTGGGTCAGGTAAAGTACCTTTTAGTGAGTTTTATTACTGTTTCTCAATTTTATTATTTCCTCTTCTGTAGAATTTTTCGGGTTTCCGAAAATTCTTTAATAGTACCTACCAGAGTCTAGAATAGTGCCCAGTTTATGGCGAGGCTGATCCTTTATTAAGGACATGGGTCTCACAGCAAAACAAGTGAAATGTGACTATTAATACGGATAACAGGGTATGGACATTAAAAATCTAATTAGTCCGTCAGTTAGGTACCTAATGAAAAAATATTACACACGTATTTATTTATTTTGTCGTATAAAAAAAGAATACTTAGATAAAACGAATCAAAGTTTAGGAGTGGGAGGTAGTTACGTCATTTTAGAGTATAAATCGTACTCAAAAGTGACGTCATGCCATATTTCGAATAAATATATCTTTGAAACTATTCGTTTCCGTAAGAAAATAATAAATACGTGTCTAATGTTTTTAAATGATCTACCAGATAGACATTAAAATAAAAATTAGTCATCTACCCTATTATGTATTGACTTCTTGAGTCATTACAACACAACGCTTACCACCGCTGTCAGCCAGAATATTTGCAAATAATATTGAAAAATGATACCATAGCTGTATTGACTAATCACCATTCGACTGAAATAAGTAAAAACACTGATTATGTACTCAATAGTTATAGGATTAAGTTACATTATTATGATATTATCTAGCTAAAAATATGAAAATTGTCTTTAGTTTATCTTTCAATTAAATAAATAAAGTGTGATTGTATTATGTTATCGAGTCGACTGTCGCGCTGCTACAGTCGTCGCCAAAAACATAATAATTCATGAAGTGTCTCACGAAAGTTTTAATATAATAAAACATTGTTGTAATAAAACGGTTATTAAGTTGTAACTTTTGTATTATTTCTAATTTTAAAGAATTTTAGCGACATTACAGCCAAGATATTTCGGGTAGAGACAAAGATGGAACCACAGACTATAATATTAAAATGACGTTTAAGTGAACCGCGGAAATTACAAATATTACTGCAACAGTAGGTATGTATCGTCGAAGCGTCACCGATTCATGACAAATGTCCCACCCACACGCACCAAGCGCTTCGCATCAAGTTGCCTTGTGACTAGGTACTGCTAAAGAATGGAATTCTTTGCCAGAGTCTGTATTTCCAGAAGGGTATTTTTTATGGGATAAGCCGGTAAACGAGCAGACGGATCACCTAATGGTCAGCAATCGGCGTCGCCCATGGACACTTGGAACAACAGAGGCGTTACAAGTGCGTTACCGGTCTTTGGCGATAAAGAATTTGAGGATTGTTGGGGATTTAGGGATTTTTAATTAAGCCTCCGGTAACCTCACTCACACGACGATATACAACGCAAGCGTTGTTTCACGTCGGTTTTCTGCTCGGCCGTGGTATCGCTCCGATCCGGTACCGGTCGAGCCGGCCCAGTCGTGCCGAAGCATGGCTCTCCCACATTTTAAACTTAAATTAAGCCTTGTTGAAGCCGCAGGCAAAATGTAATTGACCAACGGTTGATATTTATATTGCTTCTTTAGACATTAATATTAAATATGAAACAGTTTATTTATTTATTTACATAACATAACATCACGCCTTTTATCCCCGAAGGGGTAGGCAGAGGCATTATGCAGTCGTCAGTCGAGGCAGTATTTACAAATATTAAAAACAAGTGGAAACTATCGTTTTTTTCTTCTCTTCTTATAATATCTTCTGATTATATATATATATATTCACTTCGTTGCGAACCAAGACAGTTACTCATGTCCCTGGGACGCGCCGGACTTTAGTGTCCCGGTGTTTTCATGGTTGTATCTACTGTAGGTAGATCCTGGCTTACAGGAGTTGCAGAGGTTTTAGGAAGGTTATGGCGGGCTTGTCCCTAAATAAAAAAAAATATATTAAAAACAAAAGCCATTAAAATAACGAATGCATTTGTTTTTACAATCTGTTTTCAAAATCTGATTTCTTATACATTTAAATTATGACAAAAATGTTATTCAATTTGGTATTTACAATCCTTTTTGTCTGCACAATTTTGAAATAAATAGCATTATCAAAATACATTTGGAAACCAATTTTACGTTGGTAACTACAGAACATCAAACATCACGACTCGCCCTGAAGGCATGGATTGAGATGTCATTTCATTTATTATTGTGACTATCGTTGGTCGTGTGGTGGGTTCGATTAACAGTTGAGGAAACTATAGTGTCTGGAAAACTCTCGGTACTTAATAGCATGGAAATAGGAATTGTGCCCCATATATGTATAGGTAAATACCTAATTTTAACCTTACTGGCTCGCCGCCCGACCAGAACCAGACCCGAGCGTACGGGGCGTCGCGTTCCGCGCGCCTCAAAGAGCCACCAGACCAACACGGATGGGGCCCAATAGGCCTGATGCCGATTCGGAGTCGCGGAGAACTTAACGGGTTACCGGGGCTCCGGCTCGACGTGCAGGAGTAGGAACCCGCCTCACCCAGGCGGAAGAAATCATTTGATGATTTCACCCCCTTAAAAAAACCCTGTACCATATGGGACTCATAATATAACTGGATAACAGTGAAAACTTAATACTAAATTTAATTGACAAATATATCATCACAGCTTATAAGTGGCCACTGCTGACCAAAGGCCTCGTCTCACACGGAGAATATTTGAGCATTAATCATCACGATTGCTCAATGCGGGTTGGCGATTTCAACCTTAAAAATTAGAAATTACAAGTCCACGTT